TACTTTGACAATTTTAGGGTGGAGGGGGGGGGGGCGCCGGGTGCGTCCCCCCTTAAATCCGCCACTGATACCCACACAAAGCGCTTTTTATTTTTCACTCTCTAAGTAATAGAATTAGCCACATAATATTGTGAATATAAGAAAAAGACTACATTCTAATTAAATACATGTAAAGATGGAAGCATACTCTTTGATAGTTAATGGAGAAATGACTATCAGATACAAGTTTTAAAACAATAAGCATGTACATGTCATATAACGGGGAAAATATTCTGACCTAAAATGAGAAAAGAATAATTAATGCCAGGCCATCTTTATTTTTAAGGTTGCTATAAATAGTAAATTGTAAAAAAAATTACAGGAAGATATTGGGAATTTAAAAAAAAAAACATTTTTCGATAAACTTATATGTTCCTTGACTTGTTGATAATTTCCTTATTTAGTCCAAGAAAGGAAATATTTTCTATTTTTGTTATTTAAATTTATAGCATCTCTACAGTTGATTTCATAGATATTGGTTGCAACACATTTTCTTCACGAGTACATGTACGTATGTACTCAATATCGTTCGATATAGAACTCTCGTATTCGGAATGTTTCGGGTATACTCGTACACGTCATACAAATTCAGCGTTCGATAAAGTTCGTGCATTTGAACAGTCAACTTGTGCCAATATTCACCAATATAAGTTCAATAACTCTTTTATAACTTATATAGCTAAACATTTTCACATAATTCATAATAATTATTCCAACTAAAAAAAACTCAAAATAATGATTTTTAGTATCTGTATTCAAATTAACATGCCCCATTGGGATCCGGGTTAGAATAGGTCCTCAGTACCCCCCTTGCTTGTCGTAAAAGGCGCCTAAATGGGGCGGTCCTTCGGATGAGACTGTATAAACTGAGACCCCGTGACACAGCAGGTGTGGCACTCTACAGATCCCTCCCAGCTCAAAGGCCGTAAGTGCCGAGCATAGGCCTAAATTTGCAGTCCTTCACCGGCAATGGTGTCGTCTCCATATCAGTGAAATATTCTGGAGAGGGACGTTAAACAGTATACAATCAATCAATCAATCAAATTAACGTCTGTCCTGTAAGCGTTCAATATCGCATCATTCCAAAGCCCCTACCGAGCGATATGAATTTCTTATTTAGGCTTTAATGGGTCTAATACGTACTATATTTTTTTTAAAATAATTTCATGTTTGTGTAAAAGATAAACACATCTTACCTAAATACCACTTCCTTTCTTTAGTTTAACTCTGAGAATTTACCAGAAGACTTTTTTTGTTTACAACAGGGCGTTCGATATTGAACGCTCGGAATGTTTCGGGCATACTCGTAAACGAAATACAAACTCAGCGTTCAATAAAACGTCAAGATATTGAACGTTAAAATTCTCTTGATTTTTGTAGTATTTTATTAGAGACTATTTATTATTATTAAGTTATTAACTATTAAGTTGGCTGTTCAAATGCACGAGCTTGCGAGTGCATTTGAACATGCAGCCAACGAGTGCCAATATTCACCAATATAAGTTCAATAACTCCTTTATATCTTATATAGCTAAAACATTTCCACATAATTCATACTGTCCCTGAAACCTTCTATTACTTTCCCATTTTTTCCTTTTGCTCACCGTTCGTTCAGCGTGCGTTCATCGTTCGCTCTCCGTTCACAGTTTTGCGTTTACCGTTCACCGTGCGCTGGCGTTAACCTTTCACAAAACGTTCACCGTTCGCTCTTCGTTCCGTTTACTTTGCGTTCACCATGCTTTCACCGTTCACTTATCGTTCAGTCTTTACTGTCATTCGGAACTCCGAAGTGAAAGGACTTTTCTTTTTGATGGTAAGAATTTACATGTTTTTTAAATAAATAACTAAGATACCCTGTTTAAAGAATTCCCTATCAAAATTTATCAACGATATTAAAATTTTTATTATTATAACTTAACTGTTACTTTTATCATGAAATTTCAATTTAAGTTAAAAGACGACAAATCGTTAATGGTTGGATAATATTCTTTTACAAGACAAGAATATACAAAAAAAATTATTTCTAACACGTATTTTAAAAAGATGAAGGAAAACATTTAGATTAACTACATGTAGGTCTGAAAATAATGAACAGTATTGCAGATATTCAGTTAATTTTTTGTATATAGGTAATATCTTTAGAGCATTTCCAAATATATATACATGTGCAGACAATAGTACTTTATTTAAATTGGCAGGGAGTATGTTTCAAATTCAATTTAAAACTTAATTAACTCTTCCAAGTATATATTCCCATTATTTATTTCTTTTCTGCAGAAATGCGGAAATTAAATCAGATGTAGAAATTATACGGAAAAATGTTTCTTGGAAATACTTGGTGACTTCCGCATGTTCGGCGAAAAGAGATTTCCACACCTCCACTATGTCGAATGATTTTGATTGACCGTGTGAACTTGATGAAGGAAAATAAAAGCCGATGCTTAGTGTAAAATGGATTTGTTAATCTTTTTTTTTTAAAGATAACTTTTACTGTATGAAATATTTAGAAAAAAATAATATGATTTTTTTTTATACAACGGATACATGTATATGAGAATGGAGGGGGTGTGTGTTAAATCTCTCTCTCTCTTTCTTTGTCTCTCTCTCTTATATTTGTCCTGTTTAATAAATACTATGATAGCGTTTAATTTATTTAGTTCTAAAAATCTAATGTATTACAAATAATTTAAATGCGTCTTTCCATTATCTTGTCCAAGTATAGTCATGGCCGGGAAATGTCTACAGATACATGTACATATAGAACTTTGCTAAAAAGATCATCATGAAAAATAAAAATGACACAAAAATATATAATATTATTGCAATAAAATTTTAAAATGCGAGTGTTTTTATACAACGTTACATGTAACAGACGTTTGTAAATAAAAAAAAAATCGTTATTTTACACGGAATCCCGTGATTTTTACAACGGTGGTACAATGTAGTTAATTAATTCTATAAGTAGTACAGTGTTGTTTTCTCTTCCACATTATCCACATTATTTTATTAGTTAAAAGAATAGACATATTTATTTTATAAGTAGACAATTAATTTTATATTTTATACGAGTACTACACATGTTCGGTAAGAATTGCACATGTTTTACGGCAATAAAATATTTATATTATGATTTAAAACATCATAATATTACGCAGGAAAAATTGTTTTAATTATTTATTCATCATTTTTTATTTATATCTTAGCACCTAACATTATAATACTACAGAATAGTTTCAACGCAAGGAAAAGATCGGAGGCATTCCGAATAAAGCGTTCATCTTGCATTCACCGTTCGTTCACCGTTCAAATTGCGCTCGCGTTTGCGCTCCTTTCGCGTTCTGCGTTCACTCACCGTTCTCCGTTCACACATAGTTCACCAAGTTGCGTTCAGCGTTCACACATCATTCACTCACCGTTCGCTCTGCGTTCGTTCACCGTTCGCTCTGCGTTCGTTCGTGGGAAAGTAGAACGTTTCAGGGACCGTTATAATTATTCCAACTAAAAAAACTCAAAATAATGATTTTTTAGTATTGGTATTCAAATTAATGTCTGTCCTCTGCGTTCGTTCACCGTTCGCTCTGCGTTGATTTGCGTGGGAAAGTACTATATTTTTTATAAATAACCGTTAAATATAATTATTCCAACTAAAAAAACTCAAAATAATGATTTTTTTGTATTGGTATTCAAATTAATGTCTGTCCTGTAAGCGTTCAATATCGCATCATTCCGATGACCCTACCGAGCGATATGATTTGCTTATTTAGGCTTTAATGGGTCTAATACGTACTATATTTTTTAAAAATAATTTCATGTTTGTGTAAAAATAAACACATCTTACCTAGATACCACTTCCTTTCTTTAAATCAACTCTGAGAATTTCACCAGACGACTTTTTTGTATACAACGGGGCGTTCGATATTGAACGCTCGTATTCGGAATGTTTCGGGCATACTCGTATACGAAATACAAACTCAGCGTTCAATAAAACGTCAAGATATTGAACGCTAAAATTCTCTAGATTTTTGGTAGTATTTTATTAGAGACTATTTATTGGCTATATAATATTTCCATTACTAATTTTTCCTCTGTGATATCTATTTGAAAGCTAGCGGAGTTGATTTCTTCATAATTCTAAAGGAATGTAAATTAGGCAGGTCGGTAGGTCAGGAGCTAAGGAGGCCAAATATGCATGCAAATCTCGTGCACAAATGTCTCTGTGTCTGACGCTAAAGAGGCTAAATATGCACGTAAATCTCGTTCGGCTGCCTTTGCATTTTTCGTCAGTGGGAGTCCTCGTGTAATTTAATACATCTATGTCTACATTTTGAAAATCTAAATCTACAATTTTATTTCACAATGGAATGGAAATATAAGGAATCACTGTCTAGTTAGTATAGTATGCCAGGGACATCAACAATAGTGGGGGTCAGAAAAAGGGAACTCAAATACAGAGCACAATCTGATTCCCAGCATCTGATGACATTGATATACATAGGAAAAAGGGGTGTCAACCAGACTAGAATAGAATTCAAACCCTTTTCAGCTTTCACAAGGTACAAAATACATGCTTTTCAAGTTGACCCCTTTATAAACATTATAAGCTTCATAAACATATACAAAATGCTCTAATCTGTTGCCTGCCATAAAAAAAGTCGGGTAAAACCAAATAACAAACAGCCACAATTGTATCATTAATTAAAATACTAATACTAGTTTAGATTTTAAATTATGTATCTGATAGACTAACCTATTCTTAAATGGTCCTTTAGAAGTTAAAATTATTCAGATTGTGAGGTTTTCAAAACTAGATATAAATGTTTTACACCAAATATAATAAAACAGCTCTAAAAGGATAGGTAATGCAAATAGAAGCAAATGTTTCCATCATTAATTAGTTTTGATCGATAACTACTCAGTGGTCTCGATAATCAATCTCTGAACAAGTAAACTATGAGTAATATTTAGTATGTTTTGACTTAGAAAGAGGGTCGATATTCCTTAAATTTCAGCTTAAATATGTCTTTATGAAATAGTGATGCATAAAGGAAAACCTCTGCAAATGCATACAATTTCCATGCATGTAATAGAATGTTGAAAGTTCATAACAATCTCAAAAATGTGCTGGTTTCTCTCTTCAGGAATCATTGTTTGATACACATTTAATTTTAAACTGGTGAAGTAGAAAACTCGCTGTTAATTGTCATGTCGCGTGATGACGTGTTACATGTACGCTGACTATCAGTATAACGAATATCAGATCTTTCTTCTCTCTTTCGAAAAAACGCTTCTTTTAACACTGTACGAAATTGTTTGTTTATGCAAAAATATACGGCAAAATTCAAAGTAGCATTGAGTAGGCCTGTCATATCTACAATATCACCTGCATGGGAATACAAAAGAAAATAAAAGTAATGGTTTTCACCATCCTCAATAGCAGAAAAAATTGCCATTATCCCGACCGGAAACTCCATTAAAACATAAATCAAAACAATGACCACAAGCATAATCGTCGTTCTTCTGTATCCGATTTTCATTTTGGTCCGTTGAAATCCACTTGGGCTTGCTAAATGCTGTCTACGTTTCTTTGCTGCACAAACCTCTCGGATCATTAAAGCGCTAAGGAATATCATTGCTAATGTGGGAACTACTTTATAAATTACTCCATACAGCCAAAGTATTGTTCTCTGAAAGTCAACATTGTTTCTAGCAAATGTTGTTTTTCGAATCCAGTACCCTGTCAGGTTCAAATTGTCTTCAGACAAGTCATGCACCTCGTAATACAGGTAATACGGCACCATGGCTAATGAAGACAAAACGAATACCAGTAAAATTACCAGTTTAGCTCTTTTTTTATTGCAATACCTGTCTGCAGCTTTTGGGTGACAAATTTTTACGTAGCGGAAGACTGCCAATGATATAGTTAGTCCATTTGAAACAGTGCAGAATGCTATAAACTCGTGAAAGCATAAGACAATGATATACATCCATCCTTTAGAATGATAAATCATTGCACTGGGTCCTGTAACTGTAAAGAAGTATGTAGCATACACAAGATAGAAAAACAATGTCATTCCATCCGTGAAGGACAAAGCCGTCAGCAAAATGTTGATGGATGTTCTCATGGTTCTTCTGGACCAAACAAAGCCGTTCAGAATATTGAAAATGATACCAATGAGGCAGATGGTTCCACTAACATAGCCATGTATCAAACGATATCCAACAACTTGCTCAAAAATCACTTGTTCAGTACTGTTATTCATATTTCTTTATATATAATATCAAAATTTCTGGTTTTAATATATTTCTTAAAATTAATATCCAATATCCTTAATGTACATTACACGATGCTTCATTGAAAGGATTGTTCGGAAGATACAGAATATAACATATATATGTAAGTGTAGACAAGGAAGATACGTTTATATATGCAATGATAGAAAAATATATATATTACAAAACCTGCTACTGCCTCTAAGTTTAGACAAGGGAAAAAGATACATAAATGTTGATTTCTAATTGTTTCTCAAACGAAGTTGCGGAACAAATTGTTTTTACTCTGTTTCTTATTAAGGTCCTCCGTCTTCAACGGAATACATTTTTGTTATTCTTAGGTTTCTTTTCCACAGTTTTTATTCTTTTTTCTTACATATTTTGTCCACGCGAGTTCTCGAAAACGACTCGCTCGATTTTCACAAAACTTTTAGGACTGATAGAACATAAAAACTAGACGTTAATTTCTGGGTTTTTTGACGTCACTTCCGGTTCCGAGATTTTTGCATTTTAGTAAATTTTAAGGGGGTTAGTTTGTCCACGAGTTTTCTCAAAAACGGCTTAGGAAAGAAACTTGAGTTTTTCAGGAATGATAGAATAATATATATACGCAGCTAGGATAAGGCTGCCTGTAAAATATCAAACTGATCAAATATATGTTATTTCTCTGATCTACCTAGATATGACGTCATAATAGAATATGACGCCAAGTCACTGCATACTTGAGCTGACATGACGGGGAAAGTGTCATAAATTTTTCTTAGCATGTAGATTTATTTTGAGGGCTAGCTGTTTAAGTCAAGTGTTAGGATTGTTTTTTAAGCTCGAGTGTGCTGTTATGATGTTGAACATTTGAAATTTAAATATCCCTATTCCTTTCGCTTGTCCGATATGTACATTCTCTAACAATAACGAAAAATTATGTGTGAAACGCTCCCCTTATCCTTCCGTAGACAGAGGTAGAGTTTATGAATCGTGTTTATATTGGACTGGCACAAGTGATAAACAAGGACAAATTGAAGATATTCTGTGTGAATCTGCAAGAGAAGTATGTCCTCTGACTGAATTTTGCTGGTGGATTGTGTGTAATTTATCCATTTTTTGTATAAATCGCGATAAAGAGTGGAAAATACCCCTTCTTATGTTGGTAAGTTGAATTTCTCGTAACATATTCCTTAACGAGTAAAAATTAAACCTGCCCTCAGAACTTTCTATGTCCCAGAGATCACGATGAATTGATCTATGTAACAGACTTCGCACAACATTTTTGTTTTGCACTTGTGCCGAAGCGATTTTTGTGCAAATGACTAACATAAATAACAATTAAGTATTAAGTATTAAGTACTACCATACAAATACTAGTAATTATATCCATTTAATACTTTTAAAACCTTTTTTGTCAAAATAGGTTCTCGGCAACAGGTCACAGAAAACACAATGCCCATTGACGTTTCCTCAACCTACGGTTCTAGTCCACATGAATACCCAGAACTGAGAGCTAACGTTTCTGGTAATCGGTATTATTTTTAGATGTTTGCTTTTTCAGCTGTTTCAAAGGGGATTGTTTTAAATAATTAAATTGAATAACTCAAACAAAATTACCTTAAATATCTATCATGCTCTCTATCTAGCATACAGGGGAATTTTGTTAAATGCCTGCGAATGGCAAATGTTAAATGTTTGAAAATGTGGATGTTAGTTGTAAATTATGAGTTAGACGTTGGACATAAAATACGGGATATTGAAGGGCTATTAAGAGTACAAAGTCATCCTGTCGATAGCCTGAAACTGATGCCTGTTGCAGATCAAGATGATGCAAAGAAATTTCAGTGTTTTCATTCTGGTATGCAATTTTAAATCAATTTATAACACTAATAAAACTATATGTGGAATAAATACATGTAAATAAATGTAGCTAGGAGATGATCTTAGGAGATTATAGGGGAGGGGGAATTGAATCCTTCTTCATTTAGTCAGTAATATGTATAAATACATTTTCGGTCTTTTACGAAATAAGATATAATTTTTAGAGTTTTATTGAGATATGACATGAAGTGGGTCACGTGATCAAATTCTATATCGCCCGAAGAGCGTTAAAGTATATTTCATCACGTACCAACTTTATGTCATTCACAATGAAGCTCTAAGATTTATTTCTTATACTTATATTTTAATTTTTATTCGTGTGACAGGGAAAATAGGCACTATTTAGACTTTGTTATGGAAATGCAACATAACGTATCTACGACATCATGTGACGTCAAAATCTACACTTTCGAAAAGGCTCATGCAGTTTGCTTTCCAAATGCAAGAAAATCGGATCATGTGACCAACTGCATGTCATTGAAAAGTGAATTTCATTATCTTTGTTATATAAGGAAAGACATCAGCAAATGTAAATATAAATGCATGAACAGGTTTACTTGGCATAGCAATTTGATATAATAACATATAGTAACATGACAGTTTTGCATTTACCTTAACACAGTAAAATCAACATTTACGAGGGTTTTCGCAAATTATTGAGACTGTGTATATTTTTCTGTCAGAAAACGTAGTTCGGTGAAAATTTACATATACGTTTGACAAACATATATTTGCTATTATATCTCATAAAAGCAAGATATAATTTACAAATATGAAATTTCTTTTCTTCAATGATATATAAATGTGTCAAATAATGGTAGGATAACCAGCGCATTCACGAAATCAGATAATTAAATATATATATAACAAATATATATAACAACAACGTTCAACCACACACACACCCGCACAACACCCTCCCCAGTGGACCCTTAATAAAAGGGAAATTGATTCAATTTATGTCAATAATTTTTCAATTTTATTTTGAACCCATGTAGTGCAAAGTTTGTTAGAATTCTGATAAGAAATATGGAAATCATTAAAAAATTAAGCGCTGTTAAGAAATCTGATTACGACGACAACATGAATTTTGTATGAAATATATACTTTATGGCTTAGGGAACATAACAAAATAGCAAGAATATATACTAGACGCATTAACCGACTGGGATGATGAAAGTCTATTTCAAGAGGCAAGACGAATTGTTATTGCCCAATTCCAGCATATCGCTTATAATGAATACTTACCCACTGTCCTTGGAACTTAAATTATGGATCGTTTCGATCTCAATCCTCAGCCATCTGGAAAGCACTTTAAAGGCTATGAGCCAAGGCGATGTTGATGTTGAGAGTGGGATTTATGGTTACTGCTTTCAGATTTGGACATAGCATGATAAACGACAATTTCGGGTTCAGAAAATTAGATGGAAGTAATAGAAGGGTTCTTCTGAGAAAATCGCTTCTTAATCCAGACGATATTTATGAAATGGAGGGATTTGAAAGTATAGTAAGAGGATTGTATGATGAGCATTCACAGAGTGTTGACAGGTTGGTCTTATAAATATATACCGCATAAGTGGAAATTTTAGCGAGACACAAATACAGGCTTTTCTCCTTAAAAACTGGTATTTTATTTTTAACGAGAAGTAATTTTAGCGATTTTAAAATTCTAACCAAAGAAACAAGTACAAATTAAAGACAATTTATTTTTAGCGTCTGACAGATATTCAGTTTTAGCTCTCTCAACATCGTCGCTAATAATGCCAAAAAAAAAAATCCTCGCTCAAATTTAAACTTATACGGTTTATGACTTTTTTTTATTTCTACACACTCGGAAAACTATAAGTACTTTAGTCTTAGAATCATAGACTTTTATTTTTAATTACGTTATAGATTCAAATCGGAGGAAGTAAGCAATCATTTGTTCGAAGAACATGGTCATCCTGGATCCGGAAATGACCTCATCTCAACCAATATCAACAGAGGGCGTGACCACGGCGTACCTTGGTACATGGAGTACAGGAGAATGTGCAAGCTACCCACATCAGATAGTTTCTGTGGCCTCACTGATCACTCGAAAGAAGTGATTTATCGTCTAAAGAGTGTCTATGAGTATGAGAGAATTCTTACTTCTTATATTGTCCAAATAAACAAATCAAATGTTTATTCTCTTAAAAGAAAAAAAAAGTCAAAGTGTAAAAATCGTTACATCTTTCGAATCAGAATATATCTTAAATTTCATGAAAAAGGAATAAAATTTAAAAAAAAAAAATCACATGATTTAAATTGCTGACCAGAGAAACCTTTAATTAAAATTGATTTTGACTTTATTAAGTGAGTTCAGTTTTTCAGACAGATAAATCAGTGTTACGTGCTCCTCCAGGGCGGAGAGTTTCAAAGTCCCTTTAGGGGAATTATTTATTTATAAGATTTATTGAACCAAAAGATGAAAATACCATTCTCGAGTTCTTTTGCATTCCTTAGATGTTAAAAAAAAACATAGATGAAAATAAGATAGATACATGTACAATTAAGTATTTAAATTTTAAATTCATGAATTATTTCATTTGAGATACAGGGATTAGGTTTTCTAAATGTTCTGAAACAAGAGCTATCATTATGAAAGAGAAAAGCATCTGAGAAGCAAATGCAAGTATTAGTTAAAAGGACTTATATAACTGTATTTAAGAATGCATTTTTATTCTTATATGTATATTCTTGCATATTTCATAAAAACTTCGAATTTTACAAAAGAAAAAATTAAAAACTTTTTTCAAAGGAAAAATATCTTAATAACCCCTTCCCTTAAAATTGATTACTCCAACATTTTAGTCTATATGGCATATATGCAAAACTGCAATGATGTATGAAATGTAAAACATGCATGTCTGTGTAATTATTATAAGTAGTATCAATATTGAAACAATTATTGATGAACCACAAGTAATGTAAGTTACATTTTGTCACCGGTCGTTGTTTTACCATTTTTACGAATCCATGTCATTAATTTTCACGAAATCTTTTCCCTTACTGCCTGTAAAAGTTAATTTCTATGACATGCATGTAAGTATATTAGAGACTAACTATTCTGTTGAGGGTATCCACCATACATCACTAAGCGTTTACTACACAAATTGTGTTTCATTTACTAGTCTAAGTATTTACTTTTATTTAATGTTTTGCAGACATGTAGAG